AAATAATATTCTATGGATATACCTTATTTTATATATCCATTCATTCGTCAGTTGATGAACATTTGAGTTGTTTCCACAATTTGACTATTATGAATATTGCTGCTATGAACACTGGTGTGCACATTTTTATGTGGATATATATTGTCATTTCTCTTAGATGTATACCTAGGAGTCAGAATTGCTGGGTCATCTGATAACTCTATTTTTTAAATTCTGAGGAACTTCCAAACTCTTTTCTAAAGTGACTGTATTATTTTACATTCCCAATTGCAGTATATGAGGGTTCCAGTTTCTCTACATTCTTTTCCAGGGTTTGTTATTGTTTCTCTTATCGAATATAGCTGCTTTAGTGAGTATGAAGTGGTATCTTGTAATTTTGATTGGTGTTTCCCCAGTTAATGATATTGAGCATATTTTCATGACCTCACTTGTATATCTTATTGGAGAAATGTGTATTTATATCTTTTGCCTATTTTTATTTAAGAATTTTTTAAAAAACTATATTTTATTGATTATGCTATTAAAGTTGTCTTGATTTTTTTCCCTTTGCCCCCCACCACCCAGCAACCCCTATTCCCTCAGGCAATCCTCTCACCCTTGTTCATGTCCATGGGTCATGTAAGTTCTTTGGCTACTCCCTTTCCTATACTGTACTTTACATTCTGTAACTACCTATTTTTGTACTTCTTTTTTAAAAATCTTTTTAAAAACTTTCAAATTTAATTTATTTATTTTTAGAGAAAGAGACGGAGAGGAACATCAATGTGTGATTGTCTCTTGCATCCCCCGTAATGGAGACCTGGCCCACAACCCAGACCTGTGCCCTAGACTGGGAATTTAACTGGTGACCCTTTGGTTCACAGGCCAGCCAGCAATCAGTTTACTGAGCCACACCAGCTAGGGCCCTATTTGTACTTCTTAATCCTCTCACGCATTCTCCCACATCCCCCCCTCCCATCTCTTTATCTTTAACCTTTGGCATTTTAATTATGATGTGTCTTGGAGTGAGCCTCTTTGAGTCCACCTTGTTTGGGACTGTCTGTGCTTCTTGGACTTGCATGCCTATTTCCTTCACCAAATTAGGAAAGTTTTCTTTCATTAATTTTTCCAACAGATTTCCAATTTCTTGCTTTTCTCTTCTCCTTCTTGCATCCCTATGAAGACAATGTTGGATGCTTAAAGTTGTCCCACAGGCTGCTTATACTATTCTCAATTTTTGGATTCTGTTTTCTTCTTATTATTATGAATTGGTTGTTTTTTGCTTCCTTATGTTCCAAATCATTGATTTGATTCTCAACTTTATCTACTCTATTGTTTTTTTCCTGTAAACTGTTCTATTTCAATTAGTGTATTCTTCATTTTTGACTGGATATTTTTTAAGCTGCTGAGGTCCTCACTAAGTTCCTTGAGCATCCTTATAACCAGTGTTTTGAGCTCTGCATCTGATAGATTGCTTATCACCACTTCGTTTTATTCTTTTTCTGGAGTTTTGATCTGTTCTTTCATTTGGGCCATATTTCTTTGTCTCCTTTTTTTGGCAGCTTCTCTGTGTTTGTTTCTATATATTAGGTAGAGCTGCTTTGACTTCTTATATTGGTAGTGTAGTCTAATGTAGTAGGTGTCCTGTAGGCTCCAGTGGCACAGCCTCCCCACTATCACCCAAGCTGAGTACTCAAGGTGCACCCTTTGTGTGGACTGAATACACCTTCTTTTTGTAGCTGGGCCTTGATTGCTGTTGACAGATCAATGGGAGGGATTTACCAGGCCAGTCAGTTGCAAGGACTGGCTGTGACCACTGACCACCTACCTCTGTCCTCTGTGGAGGATCAGCTGTGTAGGGGCAATGTTGTGGTGCTCTGATGTGGTCTGTAGTTGTCCACTGGGTGCACTGGAGCCTGGGGTTTCCAGGGTGGTATAGAACAAGATCAGCCCCCACCTGTGTTTTGCCTGGAACCACCCTGCCTGAGCTGTAAAGCAATCTGAAATGGCTGGTACTTGTGCTGGGTGTGGGGATTTCTAAGTGAAGCCAACCTGTGAATCTAGACTGCTAGGTCTGAGCTTGAGGCTCACTGAGGCCAGCTGCTGCTTATTTGAGATGATTTAGGAAGTTCTGAGGCATGAGTCAAGGCCAGCCATTCATATGGAAAAAGCAGTTTGGGTGGGTCCATAAATTGGGTGGGGTGGAGTCTCAGCTGGATTCCAAGGTGGGTCAAACAGTGTTAGCCAGGTTGCTGGAATCCTAGACAGGGTACTTGTCTGCTGGCTCTGTAGGGGGAGGGCCCAGAAAAGGAACAATGGCCTCTGCTTGCCTTGATGCCATGCACCTCAGCCTCCCCCTGTACACTACTGGTGCCTCTCAAGCTGCCACCCCCGCACTGGAGCCCAGAGGGAGTTGAGTCTGAGTAGGTGAGTCCATGTGTGGATTCTTTAAGAGGAATTGCTTGGGCCTCCAGAAGCTTCTTCCACTGACTCAATCCCCACTGGTTTTTGCAGCCAGAAGTTATGGGGACTTATCTTCCCAGCACTGGAACCTGAGCTCGGTGCCCTGGTGTGGGGTTGGGACTCCTCACTCCTGAGATATCCCTCCTGAATTTTTATCTACCACACATGAGTGTGGAACCAGCCCTTCTGCGTCTGTGCCCCACCTACCAGTCTGGATGGATGTGGTTTCTTTAATTCCATAGTTGTCAGACTGTCATTCAACTTGATTTCTGTCACTTCTGGGTGATGGTTGTTCTATATCTTAGTTGTAATTTTACTGTGGTTGTGTGAAGAGGTGAGCCATGTCTGCCTATGCCGCCATCTTGACTAGAAGTCTCCTTTGCCTATTTTAAACTGAATTGTTTATCTTATTATTATAGAGTTGTAACAGTACCTTCAGCTTTAAGTCTTTTATCAGATACAGGGTGGGGTAAAAGTAGGTTTATAGTTGTGAGTATGCAAAACAGAGTTTACAACTGCACACCTACTTTTGCCCCTGCCTGTATATGATTTTCAGATATTTTCTACTATTCTGTGGTTGTCTTTGAACTTTCTTGATGTCCTTTGTAGCATGAAAATGTTTAATTTTGATGAATTCCAATTTATCTACTTTTGTTGTTTGCTCTTAGATTTCTTTTTGTTGGTTACATTCAAAATTAATAAGGACTCTGAACTCTAGAAAATGAGCGATTTGTAGAATATCAGTTTATTCTGAAATTATTTTAGTAAGAGATATTTGTGAGGGGATCATTGCTAATGAATTAGAAAATTTTTAAAAGATGTTTCAGGAAAGACCAAGAACGTGGCCAGAACAGGTTTCTACTGTGGTGTATCTAATACAAATGCGCTCTCATACCTTACCATACAGTACAGCACACTGGTGCCCAGCTTGGGTGCTTGCAGCTAGTGAAAGGTACTGTATGTGATGTTATGTGCTGTTTTTTTGTCCCTATTTAACTTTATTCCAGGGTGAAACTCAAAGGACTAGATGACCAGTTCTTTGGACACTAGGTTTTACCAGAGCATCTACGTAGAACTGGTTGGATTTCTTGTCATCCCAGAGTTATTGGAACTGAGCCTCAATTTAGAACATTCTTTAGTGAATTGTACTTAGGACCCTAATATCAGAGCACCCTGTAACTCTTTGAGGTTTGAGTCTGGGCTCAACATTCCTGTCACATGTCATCCAGCATCCACTTAATCACCTTCAGTGACAAGGCACTCACTGTTGCTCAGAGAGCCTATTTCCATCTTTTGGCAGGATTCTTGTGAGGAGCGAAATATTTAGGGTACTTGGTGTGGTATCTTGCTCATCATAGGCATTCCACGATAGATGGTAGCTCTTATAGTTTTTGCTGGAAAGTTTCTCTTGTTGAGTTAAAATCTTTCTTACTGGAGCTTATCCCAATTAATCCTAGTTCTTACTTCTGATGACCCCATAGAACAGTTTTTTTAAAGTGTGACCTTTAAATATTAAAGAATTAGTATATAAAGTGAATAGCCACAGTTCTGTCTTTCCATATGTAACATTTTTTAACTCCCTCTGCTTGTTTGCTAGTAGTTAGTGGTTGCCAAACCTGTCTGCCCATCAGAATTGTCTGAGGAGCTTTTACTAAGTACTGATACCAGAATGTGTCTGTTATGGGGCTCAAGTGTGTATACTTTAAAAGGCATCCCAGTTGATTCTGATGTATGCAGTTTTAAACCTGTAGCTCTGGCCTATTGAGAGAGAAATCAGAGTGTTAAGTATAAGGGAGTAGAGGCTTAAATTTGCTGACCTGGTCCTGTAAAGTAGGCTTTCTCAGCTTCTGCACTATTGACATTTTGAGCCAGATACTTATTTGTTGTGCGGGGGGGTGTCTCCTTGTATATTTTAAGATGTTTAGTAGCATCCTGATCCTGGAGATGCCAATAGCCTGTTCCCCTCCATTCATCAAGTTCAAAACCACAATGTACCCAGGTGTTGTCAAATGTCTCTTGGGGGAGAAAATCACCCCAGGCTGTTTAGTACTACCACAAAGGAAAGAAAATCCATAGGTTTGATAGTTGGAGAATAGCTAAAAGTGGCTCTTAACATACCTCCTTCTCTTAGTATCTTCTTACGTAGATATTACATGTAACTAACCATAAAATTTGGGGGTTGGGTTAGTTCTTACTTGTTTTAAATAAATCCAACATATTTCAGTTTTTCTAAATTTTTGACATACCATAGATTATGCATAGTCCTGCAGTATTCCACTAGTCCACTAGTAAAACATTGCTAGTCTTTAAACCTTCTTGTTCATAGTATTAATAGTTATAACAATCTGGTACATCCTCCAATATCAGGAAAAGAAGCTTCCATTTAATTTTTTTATTGCTTGTTCATCCAAATGTTCTGTTGCTGATATTTATCCTTCTATGTGTATGCCGCCTCCCTCCACTCACTTCCCCAAAGCACACAGACACTGACTTTAGAGGAAGAACAGGAACCCTGTGACCACCTGTCTAAACTGCATTTCTATTGACCTGTCTCACAGTGAGAGCCTATAAGAAAATTGTAGAACTGAGACATCTCCTGGAAATTGCTGAGAGCAACTATAAACACTTGGGAGGGATAACAGAAGAGGATCTAAAGCAGAAGAAAGAACAACTGGAGTCTGAAAAGTAATATCCTCCAAACTTTAATGGTTTGTTTTTAGTTACCTCTCTAAATGCCATGTGAGGGCTTGTTGACCAACAACTTGTTTTTTTCTTTATCCCACTGAAGGGTAGAAGATTCTATTCTGTTTTCCTCCCATGTCCCCAGATGGAGAAAGTGTTGAGATTTTTTTTTTTATTGTGGTAAAATATACATGTAATATATCATCTTAAATATTCTTAAGTATACAATTCAGTAGTGTTAAGTACATTCACATTTTTGCATAACCAATCTCCAGAACTCTTTTCATCTTGTAGAGTTGATTTATTTTGAGACTACAACTACTTTAAGCTTTTCAACCAACACATTCTCTAACCATCCCTGTCAAATTGGACTGCTTACTCATGAATCTGAGGCCTGCTGCTGTGTTCACTGACTGTAGTACCACGTCAGAGAATGCTCTTGTGTCTAGACTGGAGGCAGTGAGCAGTTGCGTCCTTTCCTTCCTGTACCCTAAGTTGGCTCTCTGCACATTTGGTGCCTCTCTACTTAATTGCTGCTGGAATGGAGGATGCATAGTGTTTCTCCCACTGCCCTTCTGCTTGCCTATCTCTTTTCAAAGTGGACAGGGAACAAAGAGAGACAGGAGAGGAGACTTTTGATTTAATATGAACTTGGTTTTGTAAAGAGCAGTCCACATGGAGTCTCCTTTTTCCCCGCCCTCTCCTTTGGTTGGGTCTCTTTCGCTCGTACTCTTAGAACCTCCTGTTTCCTGTTCCTGCATCCTCTTCTGAATATAGACTCAGTAAGAGGTCTGGTAAATATATTCAGAGTAACATCTAAATCTTTGATAAGGGTTAATATGTTATCCTTCTATGGGTACTTGGGAAATTGAAGAGAAGACACAGCTTTAAGCCAAAACTGGAAAACCAAAGGAAAATTTTTTTTAATCAGGGTCCTTCTTGGTATCTCACAAATCACATCATTTAGTTAGCTGTTCATTTCCTATACATTGATTACAGGATTTTGAGATGTAGAATACTTTTAGTATAAGAGCTTAACTGAAAGTTTTTAGATCCCTTGTAGTCTAGAAAAGTACTTCACAATGGAGCAATTCTTTCCTAGATAGTAAGTATTAAAATTTTTATTTTCTTTGCTTCTCTTCTAAGTGGGTTACTCTATGCTATAGCTGCTTGAATTACTTCCAAGCACTACCTACCACATGCTAGGTACTAGATAAGCCTCTTGTATACATTACCTCCTGAAATATTTGCAGCTCCAAGGGCTCACTACATGGATTAGGAAACCCAGACTTAATATTGAGGTTAAATTACTTGCATAACGTCACGTAGGGAGGAGGAGCAATGGGGTGGACCCCTGAATTTGGTGGAGCCAGAATTTGAGCCTGAGTCTAAGTGTCTCTAAACCTGTTATCTAAGATTATTACAATTTTAACATTCTTTAATGGAACTTTTAATTCTCATGTTCCCATTTCAGTGAGAAATGATTCTATTATTGATGTAAGTGATTTTGAACAGAATTTTTTTTGGAGACGGCTTTAGCTTTTGTGCCAGAATATAGTTTCCTATCAGCTGAGACTGTAGTGTTCCTTCTGAGTTTTGATTCCTTTGTAGAATTCGTTCTCAATTTTGTGTTGAATGCATCTTAAGGCATTTATTGTTTGGGTACAAACTCCTGATCTTAGATCTAATTGTAAAGAAAAACTGGGTAAGTATTGAGTTCAGGGAAGTCCTTTTGTTTTTTGTTGTTATCTATTAGTTAGCCCAGACTCAACAATGCAGTGACTCTACTCTGGGGGTGATTTTCTCCTCTTCTTTGCTGAATCCTAATCTTCCACAGTTGCCATTCTTCTCTACATTCAATCTTAACCCCACTCACTCCTCTTGCCTGCATTTATTTTAAAATCTTCCTGATGTCTCTCAGCTTCCTGTTACTGACCCCTAATTCTCCACTCCACATCCTGCAGTCTGTTTTCAACACAGTGTACAGAGTAATCATTTTAAAAGCTGAATCGAACACTGACCAATGTGGTTTAGTGAGTTGGATGTTGTCCTGCAGACTGAAATGTCCCAGTTCAATTCCTAGTCAGGACACATGCCTGGGTTGCAGGCCAGGTCCCTGGTTGGAGGTGTGTGGGAGGCAAACGATTGATGTATCTCTCACACATCAGTGTTTCTCCTCCTTTGTTTCTCTCGTCCTTCCCCTCTCTCTAAAAATAAATAAATAAAATCATTTAAAAAACCCCTAATTCCAGTAAGTCTCTCATACTGTTGACTGAAAGAAGCTAGGCATACAGAAGTATATATTGTACAGTTTCATTTACAAGCATAGGCAGAACTAATCTAACATGATAGATACACAGAAGTGTGGTTGCCTATGGAAGGAGGATTTCCTGGGAAGGGCGTGAGGGAACTTCTAAGGTGATGGAAGTGTTCTGTATCTTGGTAGTGGTGGTCTGTATAAAGGTTTACACATTAATCAAAAGTCATTGACTGGTTCACTTGGTAGTTGTGTATTTCTTGCAAAGTAAATTTTACATCATTAGAAAAAAACCAGCAAAGCCAAACAAAATAAAAATCTAAGTCAGATCATGCCATTTCTCCGCTCAGGCTGTTACCTGGCGGGGCAGACCGAGTGGGTGTGCCTCAGGCTGGCCTGAAGTGTGGGTTTTTGACTTTGTGTAGGAAAGATTTCACAACACAAGTCCAGGTGATTTTGAGAGTACGTTTACTAAAGCTGGGGACAGTGAAACAAAGGAATGCCTTAGGATAGAAGAAACAACAGGAGAGCCTGGGCAGTGTTCTGCTTTGGCTCCCTAAAAACCTTACAGGAAGGAAGTGAGCCAAGATGGGACTGCTGTTGCCTTACTGAGAGTCAGAGAAAAGGTGGCCTTGATTTAGGGGGTTAGCCCAGGATGAGCTGCCACTGCCCATTTCTCCCCTGGCTGCAAGTCTCATGGGGGCCCTTAGAGTTTAGGAGGAAGTAAAAGTTCATGCCTAAGAAGGGACATGGGTATGCTTTGTCTTGAGGTTTTTTAAAAGTCTTTTTTCTGTGGGAGAGAAACTTACAGGAGTGTTTCAGCAGGATATTCATCAGCTTTGCAGGGCATTTTTATACGCTGATGCACCAAAATGAGTGTACAGAGGAGAATGGGATTGTTCTTCGGTCTGCTTTACTGTTTCACTTTTATCTTGTGTCTGGCTCTCATCGAGTTTTTATTTGTTCCTCTTACTTCATCTGTTCTTGGGTTTAGCTAGCGCAAATGGTGTGAATCGGATCTCTGTTCTCTATCTCCCAGATGAGAGTGAGTTAAACTATGTATTCTCTGGTTAGGGAGGAGAGGTATAAACTATTTGCTCTTAAGTGTCCTAAGTTAGGAAAGATAAGGTCTTGTGCTCCACTAACTGGCTATACATTGTTCAAATTGTTCAACCTTGTTTAATTTTCTAGTCTGTTTCCCTATCATTGCCCAGGAATTTTCCTAGCTTCTTACTATCATATCTCAAGATTCTCCAATGGCTTCCCATTTCACTCAGAGTGAAAGCCTAGGTCCTTGCTATGCCTTATAAGGCTCTACATTTTCTGGACCCCTTTCACCTCTTTGACCTGCTACTCTCCCTTTTATACTTTAAACTGTTCCAGCCACATTGGCCTTTGGTTTTCTTCCAGGTCACCAGGCATTCTTCTGACTTGCTGTCCCCTTTGTGTGGAATGCTCTTCCCCCAGGTGTCTACTTGATTATCTCTCTTATTTCTTTAGAACTTTGCTCAGAAGACCTCAGTAAGTCCTTCCCTGGCTACTGTGTATGAAGTGTTAACCCCCCCTTCAGCAACATTTTATGTTATTCTTTGTTGTTTTATTTTTTCTCCCATAGCATTTATCAACTTCCAACATGCCATATTTAGTTACCTATTTTCTTTACTGTCTGTCTTCCTCCCCTGCGAAGGCAAGCCCCATGAGGGCAGATTTGGCCTGTGAGGGTCACTGCTGTATCCCCAGTGTCTAAAGTCTAGATCAGTGCTGGTTCATAGTAGACTCTCAATACATTTTGTTGAATAAGCAATTATTTGTTACTTGCCTTAAATATAATGCATGGATGCTTTTCACTATTATGAAAAATAATATTTAGTTCATATTGGAGATTGATTAAAAACAAAATATTTTTTTGACAGGACTATCCAAGAGCTGCAGGGCCAGCTGGAGTATGAACGACTACGCAGAGAACAATTAGAATGTCAGCTGGATGAGTGTCGAGCAGAGGTGGATCAACTTAGGGAGACCCTGGAAAATACTCAGGTCCCCAACTTTATCGCAGTGGTTAGTGTCCTTAACACATTTGTAGTTCTCAAGAAATAGCATACAGGAATAGCTAAAGTACAAGATTTGGACTGGGGCTATTTGGACTTGAATCCTGGCTGTAATCCTTTTTGGTTTGAACAAGTCATTTAACTTCTCTCTGCCTTAGTTGTAAATTTATACTTTCTAGAGTGTTGTAAGGATTAAAGGAATATATATGTGTGTGTGTATACATGCATATATATGTGTGTGTATATATCTATATAGAGATACAGATATAACTTTATATATACACATATATAAAAAGTAGGTTTATAGTTATTTGTATGGAAAAATACAAATTAATAATACAAGATTAAAGTGTTTTGCATATTCACAATTGTAAACCTACTTTTGCCCATCCCTGTGTATATCCATCCATATATGTATTGATTAGAAGAGCAGCCTGGTTGATAAATGTGCAGTGTTATTGTGCTTATTGTTATTGTAACATGTTACAATAACATGGTACACAAGTTATTGTAACATATGTTATATGTTATTGTACCATGTAAGTAAAAAAAATATTTGCAAAGTAATCATTGATTCCATACCCTTAGCTCTTTTCATAATTCCCAGCTAGAACTTTGAATTTTGAATTCAGAATATAGCTCTAGAATTTAGAAAAATGCTTAGAGTGATAAATGAAAAGGATAGATATCCAGAACAAAGCTAAAAAGAAACTGATATGGAAATAGAAACAAATACAGGACAGCAGGTAGAGTATTTCCATGATAGAGTGACAGTGACAGCAAGAAATCCTAGTGGTGCTTGCATTTCAGGCCCCAGGCCTTGTATCTGGTCTCAGAGTAGAACAGCAGAAGGTACACTGGAGACACTTTGACCCTTGCTCTCTCTGGGAGTGAAGCCAGCCATGATGTGGCACCTGTGGACAGCTCATGTGACAGAGTGCAGGGTTTCAGGTGCATTTCACATATTGCCTCCATAGGGAAATGTTTTCTTCAGTCATCAAGGGTGAATTAGTTCTGCTCCAGACCCTGTATCACCTCAAATCTGATCTATAATGCAAACTTCTGGGCACTTTTTAATTTTATTTTGTACAAACTCATCATTAGTCTCTTTAAAATAACCACTTTTAAATAATAAAATATATATGTGCTGCTTGTAAAATATTTTTTAAAAAGGGCAGACATTCCTCTCTATACTGAGTTCCTCTCTCCAGAGGAAGCTACTGTTAACGATTTGGTATGTCTCATTTCAGATGATATTCTGTTCATTTAGAAACACATGTGTGTATTTCTATGCATATACAAATTCAAACACTTTCCTGGGTTTAAATTTTCCAAGGAATATAATTAATTATAAATAGTCCATTCTCTTCATTTTTGCAGTGTTCACCTTGTACCCCCCTTAGCCCCTGGGGAAACTTTAGTATGGAGGGGCCAGCCTGTGCAGCCATGTGGCGTTGGCTGAAGACACACACTTTTTCGTAAACTAACCACTTTTACTCAAAATATGTTCCCTCTCCACCTCCAGGCAGGAACTCTGCTGGCTCGAACAGTCCCCTCAAAGGCATGAACATACGCTGTTCTTGTCCAGCTACCTAAACCTTTTGGACATCACCGAAGCTGACACCTTTTGAGTCATTCTAAAATGATTGTCTACTTAGAGAATTTTAGTTTTCTAGCTATTTAAAAATACCCTTTTCTTTCCCAAAAGCTCTCTTCTCACAGTGGGGTTCAGTTTCATACTCTACAGCACATCCTTCTTAAAACATCACTCTCTGTGAACAATGTGTTGGTTTTTTGGAGAGCCGACTCAAGGTCCCTACACTTTGGGCCAGCTGTTGTGCAGTCCTGCCTTAGGTTATCTGGTTTCTGTAAATGAGCGATGTCACTGACCTCTAGTGGCAGCTACAACCTTGGTGCTGCTTATTTTCTACCGCAAATGTGTCTGAGTCTCAATTTCCTCATCTTTAAAATGAGGATAACATCTACCTCATGGCATTGTGCTGATGTTAACGGAAATACTGTATAGAAACCCTCTCTAGAAGTATTTATAGTATTATATTCTCCCCTCCTCTTATCATTTTCTTTTTTTCTCCTTTCTTTCCATTTTCTGTGTTCAAGTTGAACAAACATAGCCCATGGATAAATAAATGTGTAAGAGCCTTATATATTTGAGAGTAGGAGAAGTTAGTTTATTTTGGAGTCTAAATAAATAAAGTATAAATAAAATGTCCTGTTTATTCAGTGCTTATTTATGTCGATTCTTCAAGAAGCTCTGACTTAAATTTTTCTCCTGCCGCTTTCTGGTCAGAGCCAATAATTGATTATAGCTATACTTTTAAGACTTTCCCCCATGTAATAGAATCTGTAATAGTGTAATTTTTATCCAGAAAAAAATTCTTATGATACTTTCTTAGGATAGCTTGATCAGTATTATGCACTTAAATGGCTTTTTTATAACACAACTGGTTTTGATAATAATTATTGGTATAGTGCTTTCTCACATATTGTCTCATCTTAGCCCACATTAAACATCACTAGCTTTATTTTCTTCTGTTCTCCTACATGTAGCCTGTATTTTCTGAACTTCCCCACCACCAAGCCTTTGTTTATTTTGTCCATATACCTGGAAAGCTCTCTGTCAGCTCTGCTTCTCTGATTCTTCTAGGAACCATCTTGTTAATGAGCCCAGACTTAATCCCCCTGACTACACATGATCTCTCCTTCTTTTACCCAATACTTCGTACAGTTTTAATCGCACCTCATCACTTGTAGTAGAGTTTAGCTGGGTACTTACTTTACCCACAGTACTGAAATTTAAGTTCTGTGACATCATCTAACTTACCATAATAACAACATCTGTATCATTTACAAGTTACTGAGTACGGGCTATGTGTTAGCCTCAGTGCTATGAACTTTATATCTGGCAGATCTCCCAAACTGGTATCATTCAGGAAGTCATTAGCGCAATGCGTTGGGCCATGTTTGCTAATTAAGGATGGCCAACCATAAAAGTTTGGTAATAGTACTACTTCACCTTGTTATATATGTAAACTATGAAATACAGTGGCATCATATGCCAGCTCCCAATGAAAGGTTGGTTATTATTGGTTTTCAGATTAGTTGGTATATTTTTCCAGGGGAAGAGACCATCTATACTTACCCGATGCTCACCAGTGCCTTGCCACACTGTAAGGGAGGGCTACCCAGTTCTCCATCTAGTCCTCTCTCCAGTTTGCAGCTGAGATGGGGGAAGAAACAGACATGTGGTTCTGTTTTTTCAGGTGGTGGTGGGACAATGGCAGCTTACTTCTATGCTTGGACAGTATGATTTGAGTTAAGCTGACTGACCTCATTAGCAAAGGTGTGGGCAGGGACATGTGGGGGAATACCAACTCCAGCCATGGGACCTCCCCTGGACCTGTTCCTTGTGCTGTCATGGAGCCCCTGCATTCAGATTGGTTCTGCCTAACTAGGTGCAAGCATTTTTGACTGAAAGAATCATTCAAAGATAATTAACATCTAGTGAGCATCCACTGTGTTTCTAGCCCTCTCTTTGTCCTTCCCATAGCATTTATTAAGTGATTCTTCTGTGTTAAGTCCTGAGAAGAACATGATGGATAAAAATACTCAGAAACAGTGGGTGGGAGGGCAATGTGGAAAATGAGACAAGGGCAGCAGAGGGACATTGTGTGAACACAGAGGAGGAGGGAATGGAGAAGCCAAGAAATATGATTTCTAGCACTGTGGGGCTTGCAAAGAATATAGATGACATAGCAACACTTTGTGCATTTCAGTTAGCAATCTGTTGTGAAATATTAGTCTAAGTCAGCAATTTTCAACCTTTTTCATCTCATGGCACACATAAACTAATTTTTAAAATTCTATGGCACACCAAAAATATATTTTTGCTGATCTGACCAAAAAATAGGTATAATTTTGATTCTTCCACACTGATGGCTATTGTGTTGGCTGTTGTCATTTTCTTATTTGACAATCTAAGGGAAAAGAGGTCAGTTTCCCCTGACTAAAGTCAGGTATTGCATGTTTTAAAAATTCTTGTGGTGCACCAGTTGAAAATCACTGGTCTCAGTCTGAAGTAGAAACAACAAAGTGTTCTATTTTGGGGACATATTAGGTAGAGAATAGTACTGGGCAGTTTCTCAAGGCATCTCTTAGTCTTGGGAGTCAGCACAACATGATGCACTGGTTCTTCAGTTTTAAGAATTTATTTATACAAAATCCTAAAAGAACTGTAATCCAGAGTTGAAAATGTTAGTATCATTACTTTTTTTTTTTTTTTGGAACAGATAATGTAGAAAGATAAATTGTGTCTAGGATAGAAATCTTATTTGGTTCTCTTTTTTTTTTTCATTTGTAGGAAAATGCCTCTTCTTGTGAGTCAAGCAAAGAGAAGAGGCGAATGAAGAAAAAAGTGTCTTCCGGGGGCGTTTTTGTGAGAAGGTACTAATCAGTGAAATAACTAAATAAACTTGCTTGATTTTTCTCTTTTACTTTAAAAGTTGATGTGTTAATCTATGTAAACTCTTTTAAAAATACTCTGATGCACTGTTACTCCAAATCAGAAGGCAGAAATATGTTCCATAATGTCAAAGCAATAGTTAAAATTACATGAACTCAGTTGTACTCCCCTCCCGATACATCCTTTTTATATTTATGTAGGCAAGTCAAGATTCTAGATTTATCAGTATTAATTTAGCAGATACATAAACTTTAAAATATAATATGGTAGCATCTAGAATTCAAAAGAAATCCAGTACTAAATGTTAAAAATTATTCTACATATTAAAAATTATTAAAAATTCTATTATAGCATTCCATTATAAATTCCATAAATTCTATTATAATTCCATTATAATGGAATTATATTTCTTTTACTTGCTAGAGGCTACCTTTTACTACTACTAGGGTAAATATTAATTTTTTAACTTTTAAAGTTTTCAAATGACTTGACTTTAAAAAGCATCTGGACTTGGGAGAAAAATGCAACATAAGACCAGTAACTTTTAGAAACAGACTTCTTTACAATAACAACCAAGTATTTCACTCAGGAAAGTTTTACAAAAAATGGAGAACAGCGCTTGTTAAAGGAAGAAAACAAAACCATAATCTATGCTTACTAAGAATGCCTATTTAAATAAAACCTGCTTTAAAATTCAAACATTGCTCTGTCTTACACGCTCTATAAGAAAGGATATAGAGATGAGGGAAATTGCATAGACTAAAAACATGTTTGTTTTTTTCCCCCTTGACTTTGCTGACTGAAAAAAACAACTGTGGCATTGCATTTCAGTTCTGATTTCAATTCCCTCCCTTTCCTACCCAGCCCCACTCCTCCTTGACCTAGCAAACATTTGTCTCTCTCCTAGGGCAGTTGTATCCTCCTTTCCCCTGAAGATCTGAAATGTAGCTTTGGGCTTGCCTGGCAGCAGCTTCTTGGCGTACATCAGACTGCCAACCTTCTAGTCCCTGGCATGTACTTTACATGGACACTAAAGGCTATTTGGACCCAGTATCACCAGGGCCAGTACGCCCTGATATGAGTGTATGTGATTGCTAAGACCAGTACAGAGCTGGTCAAAGGTCTTTTAAGTGTTAAAACCTTTTTGATAACCTTTATAGTCATTTTGTTAGTTTTTCTGTGGTTTCCAGTAGGCTTTCAATGTATTGTAGTAATAATTGTCAACGTTTATTGGGCACTTACTATGTGTGGGATCTGTGCCAAGTCGTTTACAGATATTCTCTCAATTCTCACAACAGCTAAAATAGATATTTTATACATAGAGGTTAAAAATAATTTGCCCAGAATCAGACAACAGTGTGGAGCCAGGATTCTGACCTTAGCAGGGAAAGTTCAGTCTGCATTCTTCTTCACCACTGCTGGGATTCCCAAATCCATATTTCTCTCACCATCTGGGACACAACTTTACTTTTTCCTTCTAGCCTGATGACCTGAAAGTTAAACCCAATCTTGGAAGTAGTCTGTTATACTTGCTTCAGTTTTCTTAAGGCTACATCTCCAGTCTTTCTCTGTATGAGTACTGTAGGAAATAGAACAATGCTGTAAGAGAAGTATGCGCTGTTGTGGCCCAGGTTCCCTGGCTGTCCCCCAGTATCCTTCCCTTTTTCTATATTAGAATTTACTTGGGCTTATGGATGCTCAGGGTAAGGACTTGCCTTCCAGCCTCTTTTGCATCTAAGATACCAAGTTGTGGCCGATAGAGTGTGAGCATAAATGGTGTGTATAACCTTAGGGTCATGCCTCTAAAGGGAAAGGGTTTGCCCACCTCTGGCCCATTTCTTCTGGAATGTGGATGTTGTGGTGAGTCATGGATCTGGTGGGTGAGGGCCACAGCAGGGAGTCAGAGCAATAAGATAAGTAGGATCCTGGCCCCTGATACACAGAGCTGACATAATAGCCCTGGAATGGTTACACTTGGGTGGTAGGTAAGAGAAATAAACCTCTGTGTTATTTAAGCCACTGTTATTTGGGATTTATTATAGCAGCTAGGTCTCAAAATTATGTGTATTTGATTATAAATCATGAAAATATATTATCATGTTATAGGTGGTATTTTCTAACACTAAGCAATTCTGATTTGTCTGGATACCAATTGGGTGTTCAGCAATTTAATTTGGACATCAACTACCCAGGGTTTAGAATCAGATGCTACAAGTTATGTGCTCAGTCTCACAAAACTGCTCCCACTTCAGACATCATTTGCAAGTCCCAGGTTGTCACAGGTACTTCTAATTGCTGATGTGGGGGTTACCATGTCACCTTCCTCGGGTTCAATAATTTGCTAGAATGACTTCTAGAACTCAGGATAATACTTCACTTATTATTACCAGTTTGTTAAAGGATACATCTTAGGAACAGACAAATGGAAGATGCATGTGGCAAGGTATGGGGTGAGAGGTACGTGGAGCTTCCTTGCCTTCTCTGGGTCTTTCCCCTCCTCAGTACCTCGATGTGTTCACTGGGTTGGCGATGGATGGTTGCACTCAATCTCTAGCTCCTCTCCTCTCCTCTTTCCTCCCTGAAGGTTTAGGTAGGGGGTAGGGGCAACTAAAAGTTTCAACTCTCTAATCATGCCTTGGTCTTTCTGGCAACCAGTCCCTACTCTGAAACTATGTAGCAGCTCCTAGCTACCAGTCATCTCAGCGACAAAAAAAAAAAAAAAGACACTCTGGCCTTGGCTGGTGTAGCTCAGTGGATTGAGCGCGGGCTGCGAACTAGGCATCGCAGGTTCGATTCCCAGTCAGGGCACATGCCTAGGTTGCGGGCCATGGCTCCCAGCAACTGCACATTGATGTTTCGCTCTCTCTTTCTCTCTGCCTTCTCTCTCTAAAAATAAATAAATAAAATCTTAAAAAAAAAAAAAAGACACTGAAGATTCCAAGGATTTCAGGAGCTGTGTGCCAGGAATTGGGGACAAAACCCAAATATACAAGGGGGGACCCCCTCAAAAAATAGCACTTATAAAAAAGAGGGTTTTCAGAAACTACTATAAAGGACACATGGACAAAACCAAGGGGGAGGGTGGAAGCAAGGGAGGGAGGTGGGTTTGGAGGGAATGGGGGGAAGGGTGGGGAGAAAATACAGACAACTGTAACTGAACAATAAAATAACAAAATAATTTAAGTAAAAAATAATTTAAAAATTGTGTATTCTTATATTTAAACTTCAGTCACCTTCAAAGTATTCTCCATTTGATGCAATACACCTATAGAGATGTTTTTTCCACTGCTCAAAAGTTTTTGAACTTGTTGATGTTGATGCCTTTTAGTGCTTTTTTTGTTTGTTTCACCTCTTCTATACCTGTAAAACGTTTCCCTTTGAGGACTTTTTTCTTTTGGAGAAACTAAAAGAGTCACTGTGGGCAAGTTGGGGTGCATAGGGAGGGTGGGGTATGGGGGTCTTGCCATTTTTGGTTCAAAACTGCTGAACACTCAGCACAGTGTGGGCTCGTAAATCACCCCTCATGAAATGGGCAAACACGTTGAGTCTTCAAAAACAATTCAGTGAAGCTAAACACAGCCTCTCACAACAATGCCAGCTGATACACAGATACAGGTGGGTTCCTAGAACACTCACCTAGTAGGGGAAGCCTGTACTACAAGGGATCTGCCTTCCAGAAGATATTCCGGGTTCTTTTTGGTCCCCCCTCAAATATTATGCTACATTATATTAATGAAACTCAAACATAAAGTAAAAAAGATGTTAAAAAGTATGTATGTAGAAACTGTAATTTTTTTCCCCATGCATCAGTAGTTTGTCCATCTCTTGAGATAGAGGACTCAACTTAGACATTACTAGGGTATTGAGTAAGAACACGAGATTTGGAATTTAAGTCTATGTCACTTACCTGCTATGTGACCTTGGTAAGTTACTTAACTTTGCTTAGCTCATTTCTGTCGCTGTAAAATGAGGGTACTACTACCTGCCTAAGAGGATTGCTGTGAAAACTAGGTGAGTTGATATATATTTTCTTCTAGCGTATTCACTGTTGTATGGTCTTTGGCTACACAGTGACAATTACTAATTTCAGTGTTGGTGAGCCATAGCCTTTCCCACTGTCTCATCTTTTCTTTGTATTAAAAAGTACTTAAAACTTTTAACTATTTAAACTTTAAAACTTAAGATGTTAAGTATCTAAATTTTTAAAGATTGATAAAATGGGCATTGTAAGCGTTGTTTTTCCAAGTATGGTGAAGGGTTTTTATTGACTTGACTGTCTTTCCATTATCTTGCCTGGTCTACTGTCACCAAATAGTAAGAATGGGCAAGTTAGGATCTAGTCTAGGCCATGTACAAGGTGAGGGTAACTAATCCTCTTAGGGACTTACTGAACCACCTCAGAAAGTGCCAAAAAGGGTTAGCGTTCTCAAAAACACTATAAATGAAATGTTCTCTTACCATACCCATAATAAAGTATTTAAAATATTAAAAGTTTGGATTAAGATTGAGATCTAGTCACATCATTTACTCCACATGAATTTACGAAGTACCTCATGTAAGCTGGGAACTCAGTTTAGTGTTAAGAAACAGGCATATACAACAATAGCTGTTTTATAGTGGGTGCAAGTGCTGGAATACAGGTATAACAATCCTCTCATTTTTCTTCATTTCAGATATTTACATACCCTAAACAAAAAACTATCTAAACTCCAAAACACCAAAATGAAGTCTCCCTGGAAAAGACCATAGAAGTTATGGGAATTGGGTATGGTGTGTATACTTTTGTTCTTCCATTATTGGGATACAAAGCACCTTGCTAAAATCCCTAAAGATGGAACAGATCTATTTTATCATTAATGGCTATGAACTGGGAATATGCATCTTTGTTTGTTGAGGTTTAAGGAGATCCAATAAATGGCATCCCTCCTTCCCATCTGGGTTGTGAACCTAATTAAGATGAAGAACAAATGAACTGATAAGTCCTAAATAGTGCCTTTATTTACTGATAAAGCTGATACTAGAGATTGTGTTTATATCTTCAGTAAGTTCCCTATTAGTGAACCTCAGAATTGGACTAATTCACCCTGCCCCAAGCACACTACACTGGGGTAGGCTTCACCCTGCAGAGGCTGAGCCTGATCCTGCGGAAAGTGGAACAGAATGAATGCTCTGTGTAAACAGGCTGGTCCCAGACAGGAGTGGGGAGGAAGTAGCTGCTTGGGCCCTGTTTCTCCTTTCACTTTACTTCACCTGGGGCAGAGTGGATGAGGGGAGGAAGACGGATGACAGTAATGTTATGCTACTCGAGTTTCTTTCACATGGAGGAAAGAAGTATGCCCTCTCAATATTTTATTAAACTTTAAATTGTAACAAACCAGTCATTTACTTGTTTACTATCTTCTCCACTAAGATCGTCAGTTCCATAAGAACAAAACCATGCTCACCTTTGTGCACCTGGGGACGAGTATGTTATGTTGTCTGCCATTCTTATTTATTCAGTGAACAAACGCACTGCAGAGTTTGTTGCAATGGAACCTTTTGGTCTATATTTATTAGTACAATAAAAATGTATCTACAATGTGCCAAGAATTTTCTTAGGCAAGCAAATTCTGAAATAGACATGAATCAGAACATAACAAAATATTAAAATAGTGTTTTGTTTTGAAAACAATCCAGCAGTTAGAAGAAAATTTAGTTGGAAAGCCTATGATTACCACTTACTGGACCATATGGGCTAGTCTTTGACCACTCTATTCTTCAAACTCCCAATTTATAACTAAATGGTGATGGAGTTCTTTTTAATATATTGAATAATGGTTATTGAACTTTTAAGGTATTGCCAAGGCATTATGAAATCTTGAAGTGTTTGGCACTTCCTGGCTTTGGCTTCTTGATCTAGGTAAAACTGAAGGTCTGAGTTGAAAATATTTTGTACTTTCCTTAAAATTACACATATACTGTTAGTAAATACTATTATATAGGGAAAAATATAGTTCATGCAATAGCAATAAAACAAAAGTATGAGTTTCTTGAAAGTAGGCATTATATATCAGTAGATGTTTAGTGCATTTAAATACCATAAGAAAAAGCTTTATTTTATGCAATAAATATAAAGCAGGGATAAAATGGTTTTTATGAATGAAAAAATTAAAAAATATGTGTAATAATCAGGGCTCAGGATTTAGCAGCTCTACAGGTTTCCTATTAAGTGGCATACACTTGCACTAGGGCACACATTTTAAGATTTTAAATTTATTGTTTTTAATTGTTCATTACAAAAAAAAAACAATCTGCAGCTATATGGTTACTTTTAAAATCCAAACAACTGTCTTATATTTTATTTTATATGAAAAGGCAATAGTGCAGTAGTTATCAGGAAAGTTGTATGTCAAAATATGTAGGTATAAGATAACCAAAGCAATCCTGTAGGATTCGCACAATTGTTCATGCAAACACAAGAAAACTCTGGTTCAGTTTCTATGAACTATCAAAGGTTACAGACAAAAGACCCTTCTATCTCAAATTAATCAGGTTTTGAATGGCAGCTTTTCAACATAATGAAATACATAAAAACAAAGACAAAATACATCTTATTCTAAAACGTTTTCTTTTAGTACCTATGTAGTTTGAACAATCTTGTTGTATTAAGTCTTGCTTCAACTTTCAGTGTTCAAAGTACAGCCATCCTGGCACAGTGTTTTAGGAAAGCAAGAGCAGCAGCAGCAGGAGTGCAGTATAGTTGTTTCACTGCTATTTCCAGATTCTGTAAAACCCTAATGCTATTGCCAGGCAAGTAAACACTGAGGCTGTGAAAAGAAGAAACCATGTTACAGGTCATGCAATTGAGATTATTTTGCAGAGAGAAACAGAATGTCATTTTCAATTTAAATGAACAAAAAAGCAAAGGGAATCCAACCAATTTTCTGTCTTAGGTTTTTTTTTTTTTTTAAGATTCTGTTTATTTTTAGAGAGATAGAAAGAGAAGAAGAGAAACATCAATGTGCGAGAGAAACAGCTGATGGGTTGCCTCTCACATGCCCCCAACCAGGGACCTGGCCCCAAACCCAGGTACGTGCCCTGACTGTGAATTTAACTGGCAACATTTTGCTTTGTGGGACGACGCCCGACGCCCAACCCCACCATGAGCCTCGTTGGTCAGGGCAATCTTAGGTTTTTCCATTCCCTAGAAAGTTAAGTTAAAGATAAAGGGTATCTGCTGTTGGGGTAAGGACTGATACCAATTCTTATAAGCTTCTTGTATTTTAAACCCAGTAAGGAAGACAATAATTTAAAAATGTAGATCATATGTCAGTTGGAATCTATAAACTGTTTAAAGTCATTATTAACATTAGCATTATAACCTTTAATTTCAGATCTTATAGTAAGTGAAAAACTTTCACCTATATCATCCATTAGAAGAAAATTTCATTTGCCTTTTGAATATTTTTAAAAATAACTTTTCTCAAAACTAAGATTTATATTAAAAACTAAATAAAAACTAAATTTTAATGAAAATCCTTATTTTTTTTTCAAATACAAGCAAAAGTTTATTTAGAAAGTCACAGAGGTAGAAGAAGTGAGTCAACTGGGCCACGTGGCTCAGGCAACAAGTTAGAGAGGCAAAGGAAGGGCCCTTGGAGCTCAGGAGAAAGCAGAGGTACATGCCTTCCGGAAACAAAGGGGAAAAGGTACAGGCATTCTCCAAAGAGAGAGTAAGGGAGGAAGAGAGAGAACAGAGAGGGAGGGGGAAGGGAGGTGGAGAGAGACTGAAAACCCTTTAAAAAATCTCAGTGAGGTAGAAGAAATAGCAGTGCAAGCATCAGACTTCTTTACCAATTAATACACCACCTGCTCTTTGTTACACTGTTCTAGACAGAAAACCTTCCTGTTCTCCTTAAGAAGGTGAATCAGTGTGAGGCTTTCAGGGACTCCCTAGTTTCTAGTTTGTTTAAAGTCGACTCCCTCCCTCACCCCCATGCACAAAGGTATTTATTACATTATTATTTACATAGAAAATAATTGGAAATAACCTAACTATAACAAATAATTTATGATACTAGACTGCCTATTATATAGCCATTAAAAATGACATGTACTCATAGAATAAAAGACTAAATAAATACAGTAACACGTCAGTAATAATTCTAATTGGTAGGATTATGAATGATTTTAATTTTCTTTTTTATAATTTTTAAACAGCCATGGCTTTTAAAATAGAGAAACTGAGCTGAAGGGCAAACTACTTTGACTACAGATACAAGAAAAAGACTTTCATAGTACAACTATCCTAATTTTAATGTGTAAATTTATATATTATCTCACTCGATCCCATTCTTAATGAAACTTGGTTAATGGTAAGATCATTTCCTGTGTTTAACCAACTGAGCTACTTTGCCAGGGCCTACCTAGGTGATTATATTCTTTGCTAACCCAAATGGCTGATAAATTGTCTAAGACTACTAGTGAGCATTTTATTCCTTAATTAGAAAACATAACAGTGGTTTCTCTTTCAGTTTCTCTTTCATTTCTGTTGTCAACTGTTACTTTTCATTGCTGTCATTGTACCAGTCCCAAATTGCTTTCAAATTTGTTAACTTATATGGCCTGTTCAGGACACTTCCTTTGGATACATAACATGCACAGGTGAGCATGTGGCTGGTACATCTTAACTACTGTGTTTATTATTATTTTATTCCTCTGCCCAGAACAGAGTCTGCCACATTAACTCTATCGGTTAAATGGCAACTGCCATTATTTTCATTATCTCACAGCTCTTGTTTCCTTGGCAGCAGTGATCTGGGTCAAAGGTGGTGTCTGACTCAATATGGGCAGCCATTCAGATCCCTCCCTGGGATTTTCTGATTTAAATTAAGGAAAGAGATATAAAACATAAGACTGAAATTAAAGAGAGATAATTTTTCTTGGTTGGTGGAACTGGAATGATACAAGCCTGGGAGCTACTGGTTGCCATGTTTCTAATCAAGGATGTAGAGAAAGTTGTGATTCCAATTATCCCTGGGCTGCAGCTGTACCTCTGCTCTTCCATAATTCAATATGTAAGCCAGTAAATTCCCCTTTACGTCTAAACTAGGGCAAGTTAAAAATACGATAATCGAAACTGAAAGAGCCTTGGTTGATGTATGCTGGGAAACCAAAATGATTATGATTTACAATTTTAGAAGGATTTCTTCTCTAAGGAGAATATAAGACCTTTAAGGCTTGGACTTTGTTAGTATTTTTTCTACTGTCTGTGTTCATAATTGAATTTAATATTTGAATCTCAGGTAAGTGAAGTATTATTGTCTTACTGGCAACATGGCAGGTATTCTAGGACCCAATGGATCCTCTCATGGCATTAACTTCCCACCTGCTGAGCGTGTGGGACTGATTTCCTAAAAGGCTTATCAGTAACAGCAGGAGTAAACAGATATTTGGAGAAAGATAAGGTAGGAGAAAGACAATGCCATCAGAAAAATTGCTGCAAATCCTCATAAAAAAAAAAAGTAAAGTAAGATAACCTAGGAAAGGTATTTTTCCAAACAATGACTTCCTAATTTCTTTTGCCACTGTCATTAAGTCTATTAGAGTCAGCCTTGTATGTATCCACTACTGAAGGAAAGCCTTATGGAGACCATCACTATCTTCAAACTGAGCATAAATATTATTTTTAAGTATGATATTGATTCTTCCTGTAATGGAATTTGAAGCTGTCCCTAACCTGGATTGTTTTGAAATCTCTTTTGAAAGTGGGAACAAACATTCCAAACTGGGCTGTTTAGAAATTTCCCAAGCATTACCACTGAATTGTCTCCAGTTCCAGAGATTTTGCTAGAATGGGGGTGGTCAAAACTTGTTTTCACCTTAGAACCCTTTCTTCAAATAAATCTTTGGCAGAAGCCCAATATTTTAAAACAGAGAGAAGTTGAGCCACTCAAATTGTAGAAAGAAAGAGTTATGTGTCACTGAGGGCTGGGGGCTCCATCGTCACTTCTAACTGCCACCTCATACTTAGTGGCTGCCCAGAAAACCACTGATGGTATAAATCAGCAATTTTATTTTGAACAACAGTTTGATAATATAAAAGTTTTTAAATATGCATATCTTTTTGACCCAGAAGTATAGATATGCAACACAATGTATACAGAAATACTAGCACAAGGGCACAAAGGAGTGTAGGGGTGTGTATGTTTACATTTACTAAAACACAAACATGTATGTTGTTGTTTGGTGCAATATTGGTTTTAATGATGAAAAACTGGTAGCAGAATGTCAATAAGATGTTTAGATAAATAAATTATAGCAATTTCATACAATGATTACTATGCTTTCTAGTAAAAAGATGTCTATTGATGTGGAAAGATATTCAAGACATTTGGTTACATTTTAAAGTCTGTACAGTATGATCTATTTATTATTTTAAAAAATTGTAATGTTTATATAAAGAAGAAAAATCCTACAAAGATATATACTACTAATAGTAAAAATACCTATGAGGAGGGAGTAGACTTACTCTATTGCTTTGAATTATATAACAATTTATAATGAAAATATATTACTTTTTATAAGAAGAAAGGAAAAAATTACTACTAGACTAGGGCATACTTCCTACCTCCTTGGGGTCATGTAATTGTTCCAGGTCACATGGTACTTGAACCCAGTATGGGACAAATAATCTAATTTTGGGGTAGTATCTGTGCTCAGTCAGTTGGATTCAAGGTAGGAGTTAATTTTCCTCTTTGCTTGTTATGATTTTTAAAAAATCCTCACCTAGCCCTGGCTGGCGTAGCTCAGTGGATTGAGCGCGGGCTGCAAACCAAAGTGTCGCAGGTTTGATTCCCAGTCAGGGTATATGCCTGGGTTGCAGGCCATGATCCCCAGCAACTGCACATTGATGTTTCTCTCTCTCTCTCTCTCTCTCCCCCTCCCTTCCCTCTCTAAAAATAAATAAATAAAATCTTAAAAAAAAAAAAGAAGTCACATTAAAAAAAAAATCCTCACCTGAGGATATATGTATTGATTTTAGAGGGCGGGAGGAAGAGAGAGATAGAAAGACTGATGTGAGAAACACCTAGCAGTTGTCTCCTGTACACACCCCGACTGGGGATGGAACCACAACCTAGGTGTGTGCCCTGACTCGGAATTCAACCTGCAACCTTTTGGTGTATGGGACAACACCCCAACCAACTAAGCCACCTAGCCAGGGCTGCCTGCTACGAATTTTAATGGCCTATATATATTTTAGTTATGCTTCCCCTTAAGTCCACTCAAATACTGATGGGAGAGCACAGCCAATAAAAATAACATTTTTTTCATTGTGGAATACCTGTTTTTCTTTGCATCATTGTGTAGTTGTGTTTATATATTTCTTGGACATCCATAAGTCTTTTCTTCTTAGTAAGTTGCAGAGCTACCTGTTAAACTTATATCCTGAACATACTGCCTATCAAACTTAGATTTTTCACTCACTGCAGGGACCAAGCAATTAAGGAAACCTGTGGTAGCTCCTCCATTTTCTTCTTCTGTGCTGGCCAGCATTACCTGGTAGGGGCTGACAAGTCTGAAAGTCAAATGATGATAATTCCTTTCTCTGACAGCCTTACCTGCAAGATAACGAATTGTCTCAAGCTTGTTAGATTCCATTAGAGTTTTTAAAGAAGCAATTTCAGTGTCAATTTTATTACTGGTCTCTGAGATAATACTGTTGGTTTGAGTATCCTGTAGCAAATAAGAATGAAGACAATTAAGTTTTGTCCTTATGTATACTGGCAAAAATATTTACATTAGAAACCCTTATTTATAGGTGAATTGTGTATTACTAAAGTCTTAATTGAGGAAACAATGTAAAAGCAGTGTGATATTTAAAAAAATCATTATTTGAACATTACAAACTGACAAAAACTATTCCTTTTACTTTAATATTTGGAGACTATTTATTAAGATTATCACATTCTGGGCACATTCTACTAAAAGCCTCATAGTAAGATATTTGAGATTTAAATGTATAAGTGGATAAACTAAGAAGAAAAAATTTTAGTCACTGAACTATCATTTTATGTATAAAAAGCCCTTAGGATAAGATAGTTAAAAATTCAAATGTATTTTGAAAAAGAACCTTAACCAGGTTTATAATGTGAACTGGCACCAATGACAGGAAATGGCAGAAATGTTTGTAGGGCAACACTGAATGCTATGCGTACAGGAACTAAGAAATAGGAAGAGAAAAAAAAATGGCACTTAGAGCTCAGAAATGAGTGGTGGGACAGATTTTAGATCTCCTAATCTCCTTTTTCTGGCCAAAAAGAAAGAGAAGAGAATAGGATGCTTAGAAGGACAAATGGGACCTTCTACAATATTAGAAGCAATTAACAGTGCCGTCTCTTCTGTTAGAATGTAGACCAAATGGCTCTTAACTTTTTAGAAAAAGACTAGGCTAAGCCAGAAAGCTGAGTTTTACTCAAGCCACAAATATTAATTATGACAATTTAGGATTATTGAGAGGGTAATCAGTAGTAATGAGAATAGGGTTTAAAATCCAGGTTCATAGCCCAGTTGTACCACTAATAAGTGGTGTGTGACCTTAACGTCCCTGTGCCTCATTTTTGAAATTGGTAAAATGGGAATACAGACTGCCTGTCTCACAGAGGCTGATACAAGGGTTAAAGAACTTAACAGACAGAAATAAAGTAAGCAGGATAGTATCTGACATATAATAAGCACTCAAATATTTACTTATTTTTTAAAATTTAATCTAGGCACTCACTTAAATACTAATTGTGAATTCTTTTCTTTTTAAAAATAGTTATTTTTTAATATATAAATAAGTTAGTTAAAAAGTATGCTACCTGGAAAGCTTGATTCTGACTCAGAGGTCATCGCTTGGGTACTATCATCCACTTGGTGGCAGCTTTCCCAGTGCTGGTTAGACTGTAACAGCTCTAAGAAAGTCATGGATTCTACAAGGGCTAGCTGTTTAAAGTCCAGAGTTATAAAGTGATACACATAAAAGCTGTTACACAAGGCAGGAGAGCTGTAAAAGAGAAATTTTTTATATAGTAGCTTACCTTTTTGGTAAATTCTGTGGTTGCTTCCATAAGTTTCTTTTCTTGATCTGTAAACTAAAGGGTATCATGCATCAGGAAGTTAACAAAAAAAGACTAAAAGGTATTAAAAAGCAATAAATAATCAAGAAAGTACATTTAAAGGCACATTACCATATCTGTTACTCTGCTCCTTTCTAGGTTGATATCCAGTTTATTATCTGCTCTGATTTGACTGGTTTCATTCTTTAAAGAAAATTAAATTTTTTAAAAAGCGATCTTGTAATGAATATTCTGAAATTGATAAAATATTCTTAAGTGGGAAGAAGAGTTTCACTTACTATCAATTGTTGCTTAACTTGTTCTAATTCAATTTTCATTTTCTAGATATAAGAAAGATCACATACAGTTAACATGAAACTAGGAGCCCATATTATAATTTTTTTCATAAAATCTGAAACCCTAGGTTAGCAAAAACTAGATGTATGGATTTCTAATACAGGATTTGATTAAAAATAAAGACAAAAAAGAATAGTTCTTCATATTCAGAAAATAATTCTTATAAAATATTAGAAAATGTATTTGCTTTAGCATTCTACTTTTTAAAATGATTGATATTCTAAATTTAAAAATATTTAAGCTGGTGGATAACAAAGTTCCAACTGAATGACAAAAACACATTTTTCTCCTAAATGACTAAAGTAATTAGTACAGAATCACGTAAAATGGAAAATGTCACATTCCTTTCATTATACTATGAACTATGATAAATTGTATGTAATACATAGAGCTCAAATATTTATATATACATAAGATATAACTCATTCTTTAGTATGCAAGAAACTATGCTTTATACATAGAGAGATTAGGTATGGTTAAAGATAAGAGTATATTTTTACCTAAGAACTTGTAAATAGAAAAAAAAAGAACAAGTAAATAATTATTTAATAACCACATAAACTTGCTATTTGGTCCTATTCACCAAGTAGACTACTTGTGACACATTATTTTATTGGTAATAAACTGAAAATTTCTGTCACCTCGTTCTCTGCTCTCAGATTTGCAAATTCACTTTTCTCTAGGATGACCATGTCTTTCCTGATGGAGTCCAAATGAGCCATTAGCTGTTGTACTGTTATTTCCTAGAAAAAAAAGACAAAATCATCTAGTCATCTATGGAATGCCATCCCCTTAACATGGAATTGTTTTCATGAAACTTAAAGAGTATCTTATGCTACAAGACACATCACTTGGCTAAGTAAAAAAAAAAAAAAAAAAGAGCCCTGGCTGGTATAGCTATTGAGCGCAGGCTGTGAACCAGAGGGTCGTCGGTTTGATTCCCAGTCAGGGTACATGTCTGGGCTCAATTAGCTGTTTCAGGACAGCTCAGAGGTTTGGGAGAATTAAATGACTGGCTTTTTCTTTAGTGGATTAGTAATCTGTTACGATTCTGAATAAATTAAGCTAAAATATGCACACACAAATTTATAGGTAAGTTACATCCAAGGGTTGAATGTTTTTAATTCTGAATGTCAAATTAGAAATTATCATAAAAAACTTGAAAAAGCTTTTGAGTCATTTAATATAATGAAATTTTATGCAAGAGCTTCTAATTTTACATAAGAACCCCTAATTTCTCTGCTGTAAAATATTTAAGAAAGGAAGCCTAAGTTTGAAAAATTAAAATTTAAAAAATATAATCAAATGAAAAGACTCTTAAACATAGTGAATGAACTCATGACGACAAACTATGAATTATTCCACAGCTGAGCTTACTCTGTCCTTTACAGAAAACTGTTGCCTTTGTCCACAGCACGATGACAGCTCTGCAAATTACTTAACCTCTCTGCTCATCTCTTCTGTGGCAAGAGAATAATTCCACTTACATTTTAAGGTTGTTAAAGGGGTTAAATAACATGTGAAAAGTCCCCAACACTCATATCCTAAATTCTTAGTAAATGGCATTATTTGTATATCCAGTCAAATTAAAGCATCTTAGCCAGATGATTTATGAAGTCATTCCCAGCTATGTAAGTCCCATCCAGCCTTCTAAGTTTGTGAAAATTAAGAAGAATATAAACATCATTGCAGTAAAATATATTTTTTAAGATTTTATTTATTTTTAGAGAGAGGGGAAGGGAAGGAGAGAGGGAGAGAAACATCAATGTGTGGTTGCCTCTCATGCACCCCTACTGGGGACCTGGCCTACAACCCAACCACGTGCCCTGACTGACTGGGAATTGAACCAGTGACCCTTCGCAGGCTGGCATTCAATCCACTGAGCCACGCCAGCCAGGGCATATTTTTATTATATAGAAGAGTTAGCTCTTCTACTGTGGAGGGCTTTCAACAGGGCAAAGTTATTTCACTAACAATGTACCACCATCTCATGATTCAAATAATGTAATTATTTTACAATGAAAATTTGGTAAAATTTCTTTCTGTGTGTTACCATAATTGTTATGACTATTCTAACTCCTTAATCTCTCTAGATGCTGACTTTTTTACTAAAGGGATTTTTTTGTTTCTGATTCCTTTAGACAGAACAATAAGGAAGATATGAGTGTGTTTGAGAGGTTAGTAGATAAGACAAGAGATGCAGTTAAGTGACAAAAAGTGAAACTGTTACCTGTTGAGCTTGAGTGACCATCTCCTTATAGATAGTATCCAAGCTGACATTTGATAAGGTGGTTAATACTGATACAATCGTTTCTGCCTGTGCTTTGTCAAATCCTGCAGGCAGCAAATAGGTATATTTTTTAAAAAGTGCACATTCTTATCAGAATAGACAGCTGAATAACTTCCCCTATAAATTATTCTTTTAAATATCTTTACAATTAAAAATTTGACAGAGTATGCAAAATTACTCTCTAAAAGCACTCTACAATTTTGATTTCCACTGATCCATTTCCCCAATCTACATCAACACTGGATAGTACTAGTCTATTTTTATTTTGAGCACATAATTGTCATCAAAATGATATTGCATTGTTATTTTAATTTGTATTTAAAATTTGCATTTCCTTGGTCAAGCATCTGTCCATATATTTATTGGTTATTGATATTTATTTTTCTGTGAGCTATTTGTTTATAGCTTTTGCCCATTTATGTCTAAAAATGCTTAACTTTTTCTTCTTGATTCATATGAACTGTTCGAATTTTAAAGCAATAGGCTCATTGTCCTGTGTATTGCTAATAATTTTAACTTTATGGATATCATTTGAGATACAGAATTAAATACTTCTATAGCCAGACCTGTCTTTACTTTCATTGCTTTCAAGTTTTATGTCTTGCTTCTTCTAAAACTACTGTATATTCTAGTATTTTTTCTAGTTTTTCTTTCATTTTTTTTACATTTAGCTTTTAGTCAACCTAGAATTTATTTTTCAGTAAGGGGAATCATATATACTATGTGATTAGAAATATCACATAGCACACATGGCTAGCTAGCCATTTATTATAACTCATCTGTTAAATAGTCCTTCTTTTACCTAATTTGTGATGCTGCCTTTAAATTTGCTTGGTAAACCCGTGTGTGTGTCTGAATCCCATTCTATAATCAACTTTTCTATGTGGTATCACATAATTTAAAAGACTGTTTAGATCATCTGGTCATTTTGTGGTGCTTGCTCTTTGCTTTTCTTTTTTGCTCTTCTTAAACATTGTCCTTGTACTTCTACATGGACTTCAATGTCAGCCTAGAAGCTACAGGTGTTTTTTTGTCTTTTTACATAATTGGAAATCATTCTACACATGTAATTTTATATAATGCTTTTTTCATTTAATGTACCTTTAGCATTTCTCATACTTTATTCAAGTAATACCATTTTTATGACTATAAAATATTCCATTGTATTGATGGAACTTATACTTAGTGACAATTGTTCCTAATAGCGATACTGTCTTGACTAGATAATTTATTATGAGTGGTGTTAATTTACTTCTTTCAAAAGATACATGTTTCTCACCATGAGTTTCCAAGTCCCGGACCAACGCATGGGTATCAAAAGTTAATTTTCTTTGTTCTAAAGGAGTTATGTCCACTCGCCTTGTGTCATATTCTTCCTTGGTTGTAGTGGTGAAGAAGTCTGAAAAGAGAAGACAGCATTTTTATTTCTTGTAGTAATAAATGGAAGCCTCATGCTTTACCTTCTCAAGCATTTTCCCCATCTATAATACAGGTCCAGCTCTCCTATTTAGGAATTCTGTAATTTCAGGGTAGATAATTGACTCCTCTGAGCCCGTCTTATCCAAAAGTGTCAACATTATTCGGCATAGCAAACATTCAATAAATGTTTTTTTCCCTTCTTTTAGTATTCAGAAGTAGTTTGTTAAGAATCAGTCTAGCCCTGGCTGGTGTAGCTCAGTGGATTGAGTATGGGCCTACGAACTGAAGTCGTTGGTTCAATTCCCAGCCAGGGCACATGCCTGGGTTGTGGGCCAGGTCCTCAGTAGGGGGTATGTGAGAGGCAAGCACATACTGATGTTTCTCTCCCTGTCTTTCTCCTTTCCTTCCCCCCTCTCTAAAAATGGATAAATAAAATCTTTTAAAAAAAGTCAGTCTAAAGTATAATATACATCAAAAGTTCTGAATATTGCTGCCACTTCTTTAATAACTGGAGAACAGAAACTGCCCAACTCTCCTCAGTGCTTAGAAGTCTTTTATATACACTTATGAGAAATTTTTATACCTATCTGCCCATGCAAAGTAGCTTTCTGTACTCCCACTCTTACAGGTTATTTCCCACACAGTTCTCAGTTGAAATTATCTTGTTTACTATTTGTCTCCCTGAACCAGAACATAAGCTGCATGAGGCCCTGACTCTGTTTTTCAATACTGTATCTTTAATACTTAGAACAGTGCTGGCAAACAGTTGGATTACAGTATTTTATTTTTGAATCAATGAATTTTATTTTAAAAGCTGGACTATTTACTTTGAACACAAACTCCTAGGACAAGTTTCACATTTTAAAAATATATGTCCTGTTTAAATAAATTCCCAATTTAAAAAAATATTTATTTTTAGAGGGAGGGGAAGGAAGAGAGAAAGTGAGGGGCTAGTAGAAACATCAATATGAGAGAGAACATCAACTGGTTGCTTCTTGTACGGGCCTCCACCTGAGACCCAATCCACAATGCAGGCATGTACCCTGACCTGGTATCAGACCAATTAAATAGGCAGCCTTTCACTTGCGGGAGGACGCCCAACCAACTGAGCCACAATAAATTCCCAATTTTTAAGGTACAGAGAATGATGAGCAAAAGCAGGCACAACATGTTTTCACTGACTTTATAGATTAGTAGGCAATTTTTTAAACTATTGTTTTCATTTGAGTATTTAAACAACATACGCCTCCAAAAGTTTACACAGATAGGATTGAGACTGGAGTGATTTTCCAAGGTTCAAAAAAATGCTGCCTCCTATTTTTGTCAAGGCCATCTAACGCATATGCATGCTAAACACCTAAATGTATACTCAAAGACGTGAAGGGCCTGGCAGCTACACAGCCTTCTTACCCGGCATGAACAACCATGTGAGGAAAAGGAAGCAATGAGCAAAACAGCACAAAGTACAGTGGGTACTGGTTGGGTCATTTCACCTGGCGCAGAAGATTCAAGGTGAACAGTGAATGCTGATATTAGTACCAAGGGCCCACTCTCCGGACAACCTTAAAGAGTTTAGAAATTGCGGGGGGAGGGCAGAATTCTGAAAACGTCTCTTAGAATAAAGTCAGATGTCCTCCAGGTCACACTGCTAACAGGGGTGCCAACTAGTTCAACACCTGTAGGTTCCAGCATTCACACTCAGTTTTGTGAATGACTACTACGTGATGATTGCAGGAGACTGAGAATTAGAGAAAGAATAAAGCGGACCTGGCATGTGCTGCAGTCTACCAAAAACCTAGGCTCGAGTCCAGCACCTACATAACAGGGCCTAAATTTGAACAGGCCACGGAAGAAACCAGGACTCCCGAGACATAGATTACCTTCCGCTTGCTCGCTCACGACAGATATACAAGAGGGTGGGAATCACTGGTATTGACGGTAAAAAGAGAATTGGAGCTCAGAAAGAAGCCTGGCGGGGTTCTAATGGTGTAGCCTGGCGGGAACCTCAGGCCGTCAGAGACTCGCTCTCAGAGGAGGAAGACAGTTCTCCTCCAGGTCCTTGGCCCCCTGGGGCGAGACCCGGTAGGAGGGTCTCCCGGGCCAAGAGTGGGCTGGGCAGGAGGGCGTGGCACCCTCGCCTCTCAGTCGCCGGAGCAGGGACTAGAATCGTCTTTCAAGAACGCACTCAAACATTGGTGACACGGCGCCTTTTCTCACCTCTCCGCAGCGCCCGCGAGAAACGCCCATGGGGAGTTGAAACCTGTCGCCCTCCCCTGCTTTCAGATAACAGGAGCCTCCAAACACTACGACTCCACATATCCTCAGCGTCCGGGTTGGAAGGAGGGAACGAAAGGCTGAATGAATCACGCTTAGGCTTTCGGGCAAGGTAGTTCTGGGGCCGGGAGGATGCTGGGAAATGTAGTTTTTGAACTGTCGCAAACACTCCGTACAGCGCCTGCTTGACCTGAGATTCCACAAAGCAGGGCCTCTTCACAAACTGACCCACAATTCAGTAGCATGGTTCAAAGCGGCTCCGCTTCGCCCACCACCCCTTCCCAACGCCTGCACGCCGTTACCACCCATAGGAAGCGGGATCTTGTCTTTGAGCCTTCCGGCGCATGTTTCCTGGCAATGAGATACAGTTCAACAGCGGAGTAACCCTAGGTAGCCAGCAGCCATCGCACGTTTGGGTCGGTGGGAGCTGGAGTCACATTTAGCCGCACAGCAATCTGGGACCTGAAGTACTTCGCCGGTGAGCATTCTGGGGGAGCTGGTCACATAGAAACCTTCTGGGAAGTGTAGTCCAGAGAATTTCTCATTCTTGGGGACTTAACCTGCAGCTTCGCCCCCTAGTGCACAGAAGGAGGAATTTAAGTTAGTTTAGTCCCTCTTGTCAGGGAAACTGAATTCCTCTGATTCTAGGGTAGAATTGATATTACCATTATACTTATCCTTCTCAGACCTCATTTACTCCAGACTTGCTCCACTTGGTAAAATGCTGAAAATAACACACAGTAGTTGCGGGGTTAATACATATTTTGTAGGTCTTCAAATGGTACACAATAGTTAGTTTTTAGGGGTTTGATTATTCTCACAAGTGTCTAAACAGTTACCACTGTATTTTCCCACCCATTTGTTTTCAAAGCCCTGGGAACATCAGCTGCGTAGCAAGCACCATTCTAACCACTGAGGCACATAAAAAGAACAACACTTAATTCCTGTCAGCCAGGGCTTTAACAAATCATTCATGGGGAGGAATATAAATGGCTATTTAAAAATTGAAAATAAATAAGAAAGGACAGGTCAATCGCACCACTTAAGGAAAACCATTAAAGATTTTTTAAAGTTATGATTATTAATGCTATCAAATATGCAATTCGGGCAACTCATGCTGCTGGCAGGAGTGTAAATGAGTACAGCATATTTGGAAAGCAATTTAATAGTGTCTATGAAAACTCTGAAAAGTGAATAGCCAAAGTTTCACTTCTTAGAATCTATCCTAAGAAAAATTAATCACATTTGTAGCTAAGACTTTTATGATTTATAGACCTTGCAGTGTTACTTGTAATAATGAAAAATTGGAAATAATCTAAATATTCAGAGTGATTCAGTAACTCACAGAAATGTTCCAAGTTGGAATAATATGAAACCATTAAGTTTTTTTAATTTTAGATCTTAGCGACAGGAAAATCCATACACACACGCACATGTACACACACGTGTGCTCAATTGTTGACCCTGGAACAATGGGGTGGGGTTAGGAGTGTTGACCCTGGCTAGTCAAAAATACTTATATATAACTTTTGACTCTGTAATAGACCCTTCCCATCCACAGATTCAACCACCTGGGGACCAAAAATGGTATTTTCTGGCTGTGGTTGGGAATCGTGGTTGTAAATAGAAAAATACTATTTTCTGTCCGAGCTTGGTTGAATCCACAGATGAGAAACCCATGGATACCAAGGGCCTACTGTAATTATTGGAAAAAAAAATCTGTGTATAAGTGGACCGGGGCAGTTCAAGCCAGTGTTGTTCAAGGGTCAACTGTATATCTCCAGTATGATTATAATTCTGTTAAATGATATGATCCCTACTCTGGAGGAGTTCACAACCACTGGAAGATACAGATCAGAAGTGGGACCACAATATTTCTACTTACCTTAAATTAAGTAATTATAATAAAAGTATGCCTCTTTATCTATTAATACTGGTTATGCTTTATGTTACTATAAAACTCCCCAACACAAATACAAGTGTTGATAGTCATGTGACCAAAGCTAGACCAATCATGTTATTTTTTGTAGAACTGGTGCTTGGATTCAGGGATTCTTAATCATTTTCTGAGCCTGGCTGGAACTTTAGCAAGTAAGCTCAGGGCTGAGACAGCCATATTCTGCTCAGTTGGGGAGAGAAGTACGAAGAGGCAGTAGCAGGGAGAGCACATAGAGTAAGAGTGGTATTAATAGATTAGCTATTCCCTGAGACACTGTAATGCTTCTGTGTGTTTCCAGAATCTCCATGGTTGCTATTATATATTTGTATGCTGAAAGTCTTAATTTCTAAAAAGATTTTCCTATGAATTTGTTAATATTTTTATTAGTGTGTTGAGAGGAGTAAAGGAGCTAATAGAATGCTTAGCACATTACATGGCACATATACACACCCCATAAACAGTAGCCATTTTTATTAATAATGCCTGTTGACCATGCTCGATGTTAAGAGAGAATTCTCTGTGCATCTGTCATGCCCTACGTGCAGAGGCCCTCTCTGCCTTTTGTTATGGACTCTCTTTTAAGGAAGTTTGTATCATGGGCAGCCTTGGGAAATATAGTGTCTCCCTCTGGAGCAAAAGGCCTCATGCTTGTTGCCTATTATAAAAGATTTGGGTTTTCAGCGTCCTTCTCTGTCATGCAATCTACTGCACACTTAGGTGCATCCCTGGGCCTATCTGCATCACCCCCGTGAGACGTGGGGCCAAGGAACTGGCACAAATATGCTGATGCTTATGCAGCTTGCTGTGCCGTGAGTAATGATGTCCTTTGTCTCTGGTTAAGGATCCTCATGACTTCTGCCAGCATCCATGCAACTGTGAGAGGCTAACTTGTTAGCCCGCAAATAGGGTTGGATCTCAGACCCTTCTTAGTTCTTCACAATCATTGCCTACTCTGGACTTTACTTTTTTTTTCATCCCTTCAATTTTACTCACAAAAGTGCCAGCTAGGTTTAAGGTTAATGTGAGGAATGTAAAGAAACATAACTCAGTCCAATAGCTATTGTATTTCTTCCTATATGCAAAGACTTCTGCTCTTCAAGAACTTGTAATATAATTGGGAGAACAGAACAAATATACCTATAGCTTCCACACAAGGCAGTAATAGATTAGTGTCATATAAAGATTACAGAAAATGAAACCTTTGGTTCAGTTGAGAATGATACTTTTCAGTCATGGTTATCAGTAAGAGGTAAGAGTTGAGCCCTGTTTTTCAGGGTTTTTGTTAGGTGGAGATTGTAGGGCAGAATCTAAGAGAGAGGATGGAATGAGCAAGGATGGCTTAGTAATCTCTGCTCCTTCCCACTTCAGGGCTTTGCACATGGTATTTTCTCAACCTGGGATGCTTTCTCCTCCTTTTTACCTGGTTCATTCCTTCCTGTCCTTCAGATCTCAGTTCAAATGGCACTTCTTTAGGAGGTGCCCCACTCCCCACATGTGGATTTTGTGTTTTTGTTATGGACTCTTACAGCAACCCTACCTTCCCATGTCTCCGCACCCCTTGTTTGAGTCCTTCATGATGGTAGAGGACACATCTGTCACCATTTTTTCCAGCATCTAGCACAGTGCCTAACCCATAATGAGTCTGTGGTCAGTATGTGATGGATGAATAAGTAAGTGTTCAAAATATAGTCACCTAGTTTAATAAGGAAAGTTGATAGACTGGGACATAGGAGTTATTTGGAAGGTTGGGTGAAGTTGGAGAACAGAAAACTGAAAAAAAAAGAATAGAAAAGACAAACAAATTTGGGTTTCATACAGGAGACTCTCAGGAGACTTCAAAAGTTTTTGAGCCCAAAGTGATGAAAGCCAGTGTGAGTGCTTTTCCACAGAATAACTATTTGGCATTCACTGCTGCAGGCTAATGAGTCGCCTCTCCTCCAAATGTCCCACAGCGTGGCCTGGCCCTGGGAAATGCTCCCTGTCTGAAAGCGGCCTGGTTTCTCCACCCCTCAGAGGCCAGTAGGGTAGCAGAGAAGTGGGTCCTGGATTTTTCACTGTGAAGGACCACTTTCGTTGTTATTTTTCAGCCTCATGAGCCCCAAATTTAAACATATCTTACACTCTTTATCAACCACATGTAGGTAGCATTATTTTGCTATATTCAACTCAAGCCAGAGAGTGAGTGGAAGATGAGCGTTGCTGATCCAACACCACGCTGATACATTGCAGCTGAAAGTGAAGACACTTGCCAATTTTGGGGGTGGTTTTCAGTTTTATCTCAGTGATGGTACAATTTCTTTAGCCATTTTGAAATTTTAGAACCTTTTAAAGGACCCCAATAGGGGTCCCTCTTTCAGGTTTGGACACTTGGGTTGGACACAAATGCACAAATGGCCAAAGGCCCTCCTGCACAGTTACCTCAAGGAGAGACGATGCAGCCTGGACCCCTCACATGAGTCGGGCCTTCTCTCTTGGGGTCGGCGATGGGAAGGAATCCCAATGGTATTTTTTGAAGCAGGTGAACAATACAGAGAGACAGCCTAAGACCCAGTGGTCTCCATTTCCTTACTTGGAGTTCTTGACGCTAGAGGGAGTAAGAGGACAGAACAGAGGACAATCCTTTGCTCTTATTTCTGCAATTCATTTTATAATTCTTGAATCAGAGGAGTCCATTGTCACAAAAGCTTTGTGTTACTTTATGTGAATGTCACACTTATCGTGGCTTGCAAGTGGCCACCAACCCCTGTCCCTCACTAATCTGGGGCAAATTCTTTTCCTGAATTGTACTAGGGGAATGGCAAAGACACCCAATTACAAGTTTGCTGATTACAAAAAAAGAATGATTAAAACAAAAGAAAAAAAAGAACTGTTAAGACATTATGTACTTTGCAGCGTCTCCTTTAGACAGTGATGCTTGTTGACCATTTATTCCTTGAACTAATTCTTGGTGCACACTCTCAATGCTTCAAGGCAATGTGCTGAGCTAGGAGGCTCACACAGAGACACAGTCCTGCCCTCAGGTTGCTGTCAGTCTAACTGTAATCAATACTACGATGAAAGGAAGCATAGTCCGCCAAGGGAATGCATAAGAGAGGATCATACTACCCAAAGCAGGGAGCCCTCAGAAGGCTTTCATTTGGAAGGATGACTAGAAAAGTGTTTTAATGAAGTGGATTTAGTGGACAGTTGAGTGAAGTGAGTTGTGTGCAAAAGGCAACAACACTTGCAAAAGCCAGGACATCTGTGCAAGAGAGCCTGGCTGGTCTAGGAACTGAAAGAATGGTTGGAGAGACGGGTTGAAGGTAGAGGGATTCAGATGGTGGGCTTGGCAAGGGTGGGCCTGGCCCTCAAGCTCACTTTGACTTCATCAGGGGTAAAGTGGAGTCACTGGAGGCTGTTAGACTGGGGGCTGACATTGAAAATAAAGGGTCTTGGCCTGCTCTTTGCTCACTTCTTCTGTCTGGACTTTCAGGAATCACAGCACAGTGTTTCACTCACGTCCCCATGCT